CATGACACCACCCTTAACAAACAGGGGCCCTAGACTCCCTTCTGTGCCCAGTGGTGAATCATCCCCACTCGTGCAGTCTGTCTGCTTCTGTGCACTGATCTGTGCACTGTCGCTCCTGACTCATGCAGGGTTGGAGACGCGTGGTGCCTCATGCAGCAGCTGAGGTCCCATCCACTCCCGGACCTTCCATGCACTGATCTGTGCACCGTCGCCACAGCTCTCTCCACAGTGGGGCACGGACACAGCTGCCTGCCACTCCCTATTTGGCAAAGGCATCTTCAGGGCACTTCTGGGGCCACTGCTCCACCCTGCTGGTCAGCTCCATCAGCTCTTCTCAACCCTTCATTGTCCCTTGTCGAAGCCCCCCCCACCCATGCTGGGCATGCTGGCTTTTTATTCCTTCTGTAGGTTCTGCCCCCAGATTAGGAGTGGACCAATAGGAGAGCCTCAGGGGTGTCGGCAAGTCTGGGCTGCCAGTGAGCCCACTGGCCAGCCTGCCACACAAGTCTCTGGGGGAAATTCTCCCTGTTGCCCCCGTTTTCTGTATTTGGTTTCACAGGTTCAACCTCACTTGCTGAGCAGCATTTGGCCCGTTGTCCCAGCCCATATCATGTCATCTAACCACCAGTAGTCATACACTTAATTAAGTACTTTCTCTTGCTTCCACACACCTTATGGGACTTAAATACATCTTTATTTTGATGCATGGTTTCTAAATTCAAATATTTTCCCTAGAACACACACATGACAAATGCTATTCACTTTGCCGAGTGCACTGCTAGAAGGCAATGGGATATTCTGGTGGTAAGAATGGTCTGAGAATCTATAGAGTAGGTGGATCCCCATCCTTTACTCCCCACCTTACCCCTTCTGGATCCAAAGATTATATTTCAATGTTCAGCCCTAATTCAACAAATTACTTAAGCACTTAAACTTTAACTATATGAGCAGCCCCTTTGAAGTCAACAGAAGTACCTGCAAAGAGGATTAAAGAAACAGAAAAAAAAAAAGGACTCCTGTTCTCATCTTTCCCTGACTCATCTTTATCTCATATCAGATTCTTTTCAACCCTTCTTTTAAATTTAAAAGAAGTTTTTCAACTATCCCAGTATACGTCCTGTTGCTGCCTACACAAAAAATTCCCATTGACTTGAATGAAAGGATTGTGACTTTTTGGGGGAGTCAGATTCTAATCTGTCTCACACTCTGTTTATTTGCTGTCTGTATCAGGGTATGTACCAGGACACTTTTGTGCCAGGAACTGTACAAATACAGACCAAAAAAAAAATCACCCAGTCCCTGCCCTAAACAGCTTATGGTGTACCTCCACTGCCTTCAGTGGGGGTTTCACACAAAGTCAGGGCAAAATACAGCTTTTAATAAAAAAAAAAAAGTTAGTGTGAGGAGATGAATAAATATGAAGTACAGGTGTGTGAAACAGGCCATATTTGATTCAGATTTGGCCTGAATCAGGGACAGTGATTCGATTCATTCATTTGGGTCACTGTCTTGATTTGATTCAGTCAAATCTAAATCCAAAGATTCTGGTCCACTTCTGGGTCCACTGCTAGGCATGCCAGGGGGCCCCCCCACACCCTCCGGCTTGGTGACTGGCCACAGGGGGACCCTGAGTGCCCCCCCAGACCCAGGAGACACCAGTTGCCAAGTCAGGGGGGCCCTCCAGTGCGCTCCCCAGCAGACCCGGAAGTGGACCAGAAGTGCTTCTGGTCTACTACCGGGTCTGCTGCCAAGCACGCTAGGGGATTCCCCCCCACCCCCACACTCCTATGGGACACTCCATTCACCCCACCATTGCAGCATTCACAAGCTGCCTGGTACCTTGAGGTAAGTAGAAAAAACATTTAAAGCTGTGTCTATGTCCGTGTGGTTGTGAAAAACCCCTACAAGCTGCAGAAATGCTGAGGGCAAACCCTGGTGTTCCTGAAAGGGTAAGGGGAGAAGCCCGCACCCTGGGGAAGTCACTGCTGGAGCAGGCAGGGGCGGAGCAGGAGATGCACGAGCCAGTGTTTTGCTGGCTCTTCAAGCGGCCTCTTCCCGGGCAAGGCGGCAGCCACCTGATTATGCCAGCTGGAGCCACTGCTGCGAGGAGTTCAAAAACCCTGCTGGAAGTTGGCAGAGGGGGAAGTTGACAGGGAGCATGCTGGATGGAGGGAGGCTCCGGGCACTGGCAACACTGACTCTGCTGGCACTGCCCCATGACAGGAGAGTGGGGGCTTTAGCTGGCACCAGGCTGGGATGGGCAGTTCCTAGCCCCTAAGCTGTAAGGACATTTAAGCAGGTGCTCCTCTCTTGAGAAGGATACCTGACACCGGCAGCAGAGGCCCCGAGGCTAGGGGCTGAAGCTTTGGCATAATCTTCATCCGGGTACCGAACTAGATCATTAGAGGCAACACCACACCCCATTTTACCCAAGGGGTTGACCATCGTCGGAATGAAGACCAGGATTCCCGAGCGGCTGGCGATTGGATGGGGTATAGGGGAGGCGGAGCCCCGAGGAACACCGTGGCATACTTGTGAGTACCTCCATCCCTGGGACCAGAGGGGAAGAAAACACCACTGAACTCCCTTCCTCTTATATATACCATCAAGTCATGGCAGGAAAGTTAGGGTGGGGGGAGCCAAATGTGGGGCAGAGCCAGATTGATGGCTCCTACCCAGAGCATGACAGTCTGAATCATCAAATCTTTCTGAATCTCTCCAAATTGATTCAGAGGGTTCCGATTCAATTCAGAGAGATTAAAGGATCTCCTGATTCAATTTGGATTTGGAGATTCGTCCACTGAATCGTGCCGAATCTCCACCAAATCGAATCAGTGACCAAAGCTCACACAGCCCTAATAAAAAGCCAATTTTACCAAGTAGTTGCATTCCAGAACTACCATTGGCCTCATTTGCTTTCACATATATGCTTCTCCCTTGACTTCAAATGTTAGTTGTGCCACTTGATTCACTATTGGAAGGCGTTTAGGCTGCCCATACACATGCTCATTGGCATTCTAATTAGAATGCATTGGAGCAGACTTGATTAATCGATTCTGCTCCACGTTTTAATTAGAACAGTGCAGCGTTGCCACAGCGTCACATGTACTAAGCCCCTGCCTGTTTTAAAATGAGGTTTAGATAAAGCATCCCGTGGCTATTGTTAAATGGGTTGGAGCTTAATACACGTGACTGTAAGGCATTTTAATTAGAGCGGCTTCCCAGGAACCGCCCTAATTAAAATGCACTCCCTGCCATCTCCAAGCATGTGTATAGGCAGCCTTGGGTACTGCAGTGATGAAGATGGTATGAGAACCTGGATAAGACAGAAAAGTGGGAGTGCAAGTTATTATAAATAGGAAGGCCTGGTTCTTACTTACACTTACGGATTTTTATAGTGCTGTGGCCTATGATCCTGTAAGTGTCCTCCTCCTCAGAATATCACTTGCCAATTAAGGGCTAGATTATGGTGTGGACTACACAGCCACATAAAAGAGCACTAAGTACATCCCTTATGTCCAAAAAATGGGCTACCTAGACTTTTGGTCTGGGAGTGGAGCCATAGTTGGGGATTGCTACCCCCTGCTTCAGAAGACGGGGGGAATTAGTATATGAACTCCAACCCCACAATGCACTAGCCAAAGCAGCAACAGGCAGGTGACCTAATTTTCTGCTAATTAAGGCTGGCAGCAAATGATTGCACGTGCACACCAAGCAGCAAAGGGAAAACAGAAGGGAACTTACAATTCCTTGGAATCACAAAACCTCTCATAGCTGCTCTTGAGACACTGAAGCTTATAGTCCCAGCTACTGCCCAACTACGTTTTTAAAGGCACTATCAAAGTCTACCTGTTGGAAAAGTTAAAACTTAAGATCTTTTATAACCATCTAAAAAGCTTCCTGTGAGTGATACAATCTGAGATAACTGTGACATTGGCAGATGGAAGATAAATTTACCAAAAAGAAAAGGAGAAAGAACTAGACCTTATTAAAGCATCAGGAAAAATATCATTAAGAATGTTCAGTTAAATATGATTATTGTTTAAAATGAATGGGTGGAGACAACGTGCAAGGAACATCTGTTACTATTGAATTCTGTCCCTTGTGATTGAGCAACAGCGTAAGTCTCAACAGACTTGTTTCTTTAGGTTGTTTATATATGTGCACACAGAACCCTACCTATCTTTATGTATAGTGTCTCTAAGAATATTTCAGAATGTAACCTTGATTTATAATACCGTAAATGCTGGCATGCTATTTTGTTTGTATAAAAGTTAGATAGGTGAATTGCTTACTGGCACTGTGATGCTGCTGTGAAGAGTAGCAGATGTTTAACTGTTTTGATTTCCACTCCTCAGTGGACAAAAAGTGAACTCTAGGCACACCTCTAGTTTGCAATGAGGTGGCCCAGTATTCTAAGTGGGGGGTCCAGTCAGAACAATGTACAGTATTGAATCATCAGAATATCTCCTATGGCCTTTATGCTGTTTTAACTGCAGTACATCTCTCAACAATTTGCACATTGTTTAGATTCCTTTAAAGCAGTCTACTAATGAGAGTTCTGTTGCCAAGCCTCCTTGTATGGTTTTACAGGCAAGGTATTTCCTTTCAAGGGTCTAATCCTGCAAGATCTTACAGTTATATAGCACCATTATCTCCTGGTCAATAGGCATTGGAAGTCTTCAACAGAGGTGGTTGGGAAATTCCATCCAAGTGAAAATTTCATTAAAAAAAATATCAAAGTGTTTAAAAATCACTTTGATCTTCTGGGGAAAGCAAAAAGAACCAGGACATTATTACAGGGAACCATCTTAAACTAAAAGGTCAGCATAGTATTTTTAGTACTAGTAGTATTAAAATTATGGCGCACAGATGCTCAAAAGTCTAGGTTTACCTCAGGTGGGTAACAAGGTACTACTTAGCAAGAATTCTGTGGCCAGACGCAAGAAAAATGCACATCATGTATGATGCCAAGACAGGGGTTCCTAGAAAGCCAGTTTATTATAGTCTCTAGACCTGAGCAAAAATATCTGTAAAGAATCATTACATTCCCTCCTTAGCTGCCTTGCCATCAGCATATTTTTATAGACATAAACTATTTTAAATTATTCCATTTGTTTAATTCATCTTCCAACACAGGTGTGGATGGCCCACTGAGGCAGGCAAGGAAGACGAACCCAGTTTCCGCAGGCTGATTAGAAGACATGCCCCAAAGCAATCCGTCAGGTGAGAAACATCTGAGAAAGGGTGGTTTTCCCCAAAGCCATGGCTAATCAAAATGTATGGCTTTCAAAGGAGGCAAACTTTATTATTCTTAAAGAAAGAATGCAATCCACACAATGTTTTGAGGTCTGGCATTGGGTACTTGAAATATTTCATGTGGTTTGGCCTTGTAGCTATTAAAATACTTGGTGCACCTGCCAGTCAGCCAGTTTTCCTGTGGTTGAAGATGCTGCGTTTGCATCTTCTTTATCCTCCCTGGCAGTTCATCCAGCTGTCTGTCCTTAGTTTACAAGGACTATTCATCTTCTCCACCTGACTTTGAAATAAGGGACAGAAAGAGCTATCACAAATTGACTGTCTGTGCCAGGTTTTCACTGACTAGAATGGATAATCCACTTACAATATACAGAACAAACCATGTGAAAACAAAACAAAAGTGCTAAACAGGAACATGAGATTTTCATTTGGATCTACGAAATGACTTTACTTCTTATTGAACCCCTATATTTCACCCTGTGAGCCTTGGCATTAAGTCAGTCAGTTGAGATTGATTTTCTTGGGATTAATCCAGATAGACACCACTGTAACGGAGCACAGAATTTGGTCCCCCATGTTTATAATGCATCTGAGTACAGCCACATCTCTGAAGAACTTGCCTGTAGCACTCCCTTAATCTAAACACTATCTTCTTGCTATCCCATATTTCTGCCTTGTAGCCCAATAATCCAGTCAGATAACATAACCAGTTGGCAAAGATGAAGAGGTATCTTATAGATTGTAAACCTCAAACTTTGTGAGAGTACATGTGCACTCACACATACCTTGGTTTAAAGAAAATGGAACAAATCCCTCTCTCAATAGACAAAAGTCTGCTGTCAGCTATCCCCACGCATTCCCGATGAAACTATATTGACATGAGCAGAGTTACTCCATCTTTACACGGATCTAACTCGGAGCAGAAACTGGCCAGTTCAAGTCAATGGGAACATTGCCACGTCTGTTCGCTTCAAGGAAAGCAGGGTCATTGTATCTGGCTTGGCTACAAATTACATTCAGCCTTCAGTTGTTATTTTTTGGGGTGGAGGGAGGAAATGGCTGAGAGGGGGAAAGGAAAAGGAGGGAAACATCCTAGAAAGCCAAAGGAAAGGGTTGAAAAACAGCATCATTATATACTCTTCCTTTCAGAACAATAAAAACCCCAACAAATGTCTCCAAAAGAATATTGGCTGCCCAAAAATCAAGCTAGCAATCTTGAATATTTACCCTTAGGAAAAATGTCATGGTGAAAAACATTAATGATTTTTAAACCACACTTTATTTTACAGGGAACTATTTTACGAGCACTCCTTCTAGAGCAATTGTTGACTATTTGATGGTATGGTAAGAATCAAGTATTGGCAAAATGTCTATGTGGTGAATACCGCATAATCACCAACTAAATTCGTCATTAGGTTTGTCTTTAAAAACAGCATACGTGTTAGGTCTATATATAATTACCAAGTACTGTACTCTGCAGGAGCATGTAACTACTGTGCTCTTGCACTAGGAGCATATAGTTATTCACTGGGCTTCTCTACACACTATTAATGCATAGCAATAAACTCAGGCACACTTTGTACCAGTTTATTGCTCTCAGGCGCGCCGTTTGAATGTGAGCCCATGACTGTAGCATGTTGAGCTGGGGCGGAGCAGTCCTGGTTGGCAGGGGGCCCAGGGAATCAGCACAGAAAAGGTTTCAAGGGATGGAGAATATGCCTTTTAGTGAGAGGCTTAAGGAGCTCAATCTACTTAGTCTAATAACAAGGAGGCTAAGGGTTGATTTAATTATGGTGCATCAGTCTCTTAATAGGAAAAAATACTGGGCACTAAAGGGCTCTTTAATCCAGCTGATGAAAAGCAAATGCTGGAAATTGAAGTTAGACAAATTCAAGTTCAAAGTAATTCCAAAAGCTAACACTGCAGGTAAGTTAGCTGCTAGGACAAATACTGAGGGAGCTTGTTGAATCTTTGCCTCACATGTCACTTTTTGAAGAGGTTCTTTAGCTAAATCTGAGGTGCTGCACTTAGTGGAAGATGGGTGAAAATCTACAGACCTGTGATCTAGGTGATCTAATTGTTCCTACTGATCTTATGTATTATGGACTTCCCTTTGCAGACTGTAGCTACCCTAAAGTCATCACCCTTTTGCCAAGACCAGAATTATTAACCCTACCATGGAGGGGTGGGAATCCTTGCAAGATACAGAATTAGTTGTCAACCATCTAACAAGCCTGAGTGGTGGTTCATGGTCTGTAAACAGCCAGGCTCCGGAGGTTTCACTTTGCAGAGAATCCCCAGCACAGAGTAATAACCATTTTGTTTTGTGGGTCCATCCAACAGTCCTCCTCTTCATACCTCCTCTCAACTCTGATTGTGAATCAGAAGTCACGGGACACTGCGTGTAAGGAAAATAAGAATTAGTTTACTTCGTATGTCTAACTCTTTGGGTAAATATATTTCCCCAGGACTAGGTGTTGCCAATATTTCTATCTAATACCCACCAATGCTGATTATCTGTCACACTGTCTAGTAATTCTACACTTTTTGTGGCACCTAATGCTGTTTTGCCAAGTGCTTGATGCTTGAGTTTGATACCCTTCTTAGACCTGGCTTCGTCGCATTTTTAGAAATTTATGTCCTTCGAGCTTCTGCACAGATGACTCTGGGTTACTATTTCAGTGTTTTGCTGATTCCATGTTTGTCTGCTTTTCCTGATCTGAAGCCCATTATGCAAGGAAACAGTTACCTACTCTCCCTCCCTTCTCCCATTTATACTCTAGTCTAAGGGTCCCTGAGGGAATGCTAATTAAGCCAAATCCAGTAGTACTTTAAAGCATCTCCTAAAACCTTGGGAGAAAGGTCACTTTTTTCCTGTACAATCCCACTTGCATATCAAGTATTTATAATATAGTTAATCAATTCTCACCTGTTACATAGTATTTGTGAAAGTCTCTCATAAGTATTATAAACATAAAAAAATTATCAACACTGAACAGCTGATATTCATTACTTTGGTTTGAAATCCTTTCCCAGGCACACCCAGAGGTTGATGTAGTAAACCTAAATCTAATGACAAGATGCATATTGGCTCATGTCTCTCTGCTTCTGTGTGCCAAAGCGTTTTGCATTTTCTTCAGCCTGCATCCTAGCACAGCTTTGAGTTAGGATAATACTGTCAAGTATTCCCACTGATGTTAGATAGCATTAAGAGATTAAGTGAAAAACATAGCCAGCATTGAGCCTATGGTTTAACGTATCTAAAAATTCAAGATAATACATGATCTGTTTTCTGGGCTGGTGTCTAATATTTCATTAATACCAGATTAGTTCATGATGCTATTTCATACTTCTATAAAAGCACATATTTACTGCATAACTGTCTAAAGAGCAAACATAAGAATTGATTTTCCTCCTGCACTGTGATATATCTTGAGCAACTTGGTTTGTCAAGGACTTGATTTAAGACTGAGGTAAGTAAAAACAGCATTAGGTCTATAGTCTTTATTCATGAGGAAATATAAATAATGGAAAAGCGTGGAACATTTGGAGGTGATGCAACTCAGGGGATTGGACGTGGCGGGAAAAAATAAGCCTTCTTGATTTATACCTGTTCTTGGAGGACATTTAAATGTCACCATTCGAATTTGTATGAACGCCGTGTGCCCCCAGAGGCTGGTGGGGCACAGCGACCACCTGCAAGCAGCGGCAGCGGTGTTGTCGGCAGGGGTGTGGCAGCAGTGAGTGGGGTGCTCTCGTATGCAGCCGCGGTGGAGTTGGCAGCGGTGGCGGGGTGGAGGGACGGCAAGTGCTGATTGGTGGTCAGTAACCACCTGCAGACGCCACACTTTTTGCAGGGGGTGCACCGCCAATCACAGGGGGTGCACATGCACCCACATGCACCCCCTATGCATCGCCAATGCTAGTTTGGTAACTTATAACCACATTACATTTGTTTTGCCCAGGTATAAGTAACCACCTGATGGGCCAGGCAGTGGCAAATCAGGCCTAAGCCTAGGTGTGTAACATAGGCAGATCTAATAGGTAGTGGCAGGAAGTCAGTATTAGCTCAGAGTTGAGAAGGAGATTCCTTTCAAAGAACTGTGGGAGCTAAGGAGATAGGGGAGGGGTGGCCCACAAGCAGAGTACAGAAAGCCGCATCTGAGAGAGCAGAGTCTAATGTAATCATGCTACAAAAAACAGAATAGGGGATTGCCAATGGCTGGAGGAGAATCAAGAGCAAATGAATGTCGAAAGGCAAAGTAATAGAGCTAGAAAGAAGGCAGCGGGGTATTCAGGAGTAGCTCAGAGAGTGGGATGGAGATCCAGCAGAGCACTGAGCTGTAGCTAGAGAAGTCTGGTAAGATCTCCAGGGCCTGCCGAGCAGGGAAAAACATCAGTGAAAGTGCAGAGCTGTGAGAGCTGCTTGCCAACTTTTGTTCTTTTTCACTTCTCAAAATAGTTACTTGTTAAAACTAGTCTCTTGCCAGGATGTCACAATCAAGACATTTGCTCCAGCTCCTGGCTGCGATTCCTTCAGCTCAGACATGCTGGGTACAGCCCAACTCCCTCCTCCAGCAACACAGCAGAAAACACAAGTCTGTGCTGCTCTGAAAATTCCTCTTTAGACCCTTTCTCTGACTCTCTTGTGCCATTCTCCTCCCTGCTGGCACAAAGAGAATTCATATTCATTTAGCCCATTAGCGATGAGCCTCTTTTGGATGGTTTTTGTAGCGCAGGCATTCATTTGTGACCAACCTGAAGTGGTGCAGCTACTTTAGGGCCTCTGCTGATCCCCATGGAAAGTTTTGCTAGTGTCACCCACTGGGGTTTGGGGGGTGTGAGCGTGGCTGTGGGTGGGGTACATCTTGGCTAGAAAGCCTAGAATCATTCTCTCAAGCTGCAGCAACTCAGGCTTTCAGCTTTCTGAGGTCCCTGTTTCAATCCCAGTGTGTTGGCCAAGAGGACTGCCACTGACAGTAGCATCTGACGTTAAAAATTGATAGCTCCAGTGTGTAATGCTGCAATTCTCATGGTGGGGGTGGGGAAAGCTGCCCAGAAGCAAAATTGTATTCCTGCCCAGAAATTAATCAGAATCTCACGGTTCTCTTGCCAGTGTTTAGTTCTACGATCCATCTCTTTAGACCCCAAAGCTATGACAATTACTTTTTCTTTTGGTAAAGGTGGAAAGGCAGTGTAGGTGTATATGCCTAAAGGGTGAGTGGGGGGAAGCACCTACAGCACATTGTGGACAGACCTGACAAAGATAAAAAGAAAGTGCCTTACTAATCTCCGTGAGAGACAGGGGCATTACAGATAGGTGCTGTTCCCTGGGTAGCAGTGGCAGCAGTATTCAGGCTGGGGGTGGCAGTGACAGTTGCCACCTTTCTTCTGCCCCCTCTGCACCGGTGCCCCGGGTTGGTGCCCTGGTCACCCACCCACTGCTGGTGAGAGACTGTGATGAAAAGGAAGGAGTGACAGTACTGAAAGAGGTCAAAGAAACCTCTGTCAATTCGGGCTCCCAGCAACTTCAGACTTCATTAGGACTAGTAATATGCTTGAAGCTAGGCATGTGCTGAAGTACCTAACAAGGCAAACAAGGCCTCAAGAAGAAAATCTTTCATGCAAGTCAATATATATCGGTCCTTACCTCATTTTAGGATTTCATTCCTCATTTGGCTTGCAAAATGGCACTCAGATACCTTGGTGCAGTAAACTGGAGCTGACTGTTGAGATCATGTTATGTTGGAATACTTGCTGGTTGGTTGTATTCTGGCAACACCTTATTGAAAGCATTTCTGCTCCAGTTCAGTTCTATCAGAGACAAAACAGGGAATGCTTTTGATAAAGCTATTTTTATTGCCAGCTGCAAAAAAGGTGGGAGAGAAGTACTGTGATCCCTGTTTCACAAATGAGCTGAGGTACACAAAAATTAAAGTGACTTGCCCCAAATCATATAGAAATCTGAGACAGGAATTAAACCTACATTTCCAGTCCACAGCCTGTACCACTTTACCGTCCTCCCCTCTCACACCTCTTTCTATCTCAGGCATGTAAATGCTACAGTGTTGTCAGCCTGGCATAGAGAACTATGCCAACTAAGTGGGCAAAACACTCACTTGCAACTCTAACAAGGTCCACAGCGATTTGGATTAATTCTAACATGCAGAAATAACCTCTTTGGGGATGTGTGTGTGTGTGGGTGTGTGCATGTGCAAAATTAACAAAACAACCACCCTGCCAAGGCTGTGTTATTAGGGTGGAGTGTTTGGCAAGTCCACTGTCAACAGGTCTAAGCTCAGCTAAATCAGAGAACGCTATGTAAAGTCTGACTCCATGACAAACAGAGCCCCTACGTGCTAACTTTGTCATCTCTGGAAGGCTAAAAAGTTAGTCAAACATGTGGCCTTCCCAGCATGTACAGGCCTGTCTGACTTTTCACACAAAGCTTGTATGCAAACACACAGATTTGATTCCCCTAAAAATGTAAATCAACTTTAGTCATTATTTCTCCTCAAAGAAAGTTGATTATTTACTGGAAGACTTTCCCTGGGGAAGAAAAACTGAAACGGAGTTCCTTACCCTTCTAGTTGCTGTGTGGACATGTATTTCATCGTGACACTTTTCTCTCATATAGCATTAGTCTAGTCATTACCTTCTGCCCTTAATCATGGATAAACACAGTGGCTCAGTGGAATATGCATTTCTATTTGGTGTTCCTCAACCAATAGTTAAATGTTGAACTTCAGGATGAGAGAAACACAATTGTGCTTTAAAGTTCTCAGTAATCACTAAAGCCATTTGGCAGGACCCATTGCCAGGGTAGTACCGGTGGGCCCTGGGGAGAGTCTAATCCCACATGAATATCTATGTATAGGAACCCTACATCAAGGGTAAAGTTGACTCAACCAGCTCTGTGTCTCCTCTACCAGACATTCAGGGTAATGCCACGGAGGAAAGCAGACAGGAAGCGGGCATGATCCTAAGTGTCCTGCACTCAGTGGGACTATTGAAACCGGAGTGCGAGGCTGATCACCCCTGAGGATGAACTGCTTCCTGGCAGCCTCTGAGTGGGGGAAGCATAAATCATTCCACCTGTGTTGCTGGACTGCCATTAGTATGAGTGCAAGGATGAATGTTCCCCAGTAGGCAAAGGCAGAGGTATAACAAGCAGAGTTGATGCCCCAGACAAACTGCATGGGAGAGCAGAGTGGTTGTGCCCAGGTTCCAAGAGCTGCAGGCGGAACATGTAGTTGTAAGAGGGAGACAGGAGGGTGCAGGAGTCTTACCCATGCTAAGACCGCTTCAACAGTCCCCAGCTGAGCTACATGCTCTGCTTGCCCTGGTTATTATTCTCAAAGCAGCAGCCACAGCTGGGGACTGTTTTGGAGTTTGTGGCAGAGGGAAGCCATGGAGATGCTATTGCTTCTGGGATGCAGGGGGTGGGAAGGGTGATTCTGGTGCCTTTCCTATCTTGGTGCCTGGGGTGGATGCCCCTCTTGCCCACCCTTAGTTATGCTTCTGCCAGTAGGAGTTGAAAGAACTTAGGACATTGCATAATGTTCTCATGAGACCTGACTCCACACAGAAAAAAATGTTACTGTATATAACTCCCATTTACCTAGACACACGCGACCACTTTAAAAAAACCTCTTCTTGCTGCAATATACTGCTGATAAGTTAACTGTGGATCCTAGTGTCTCTGCTGAGCATTCCAGGTGCTTTCGCCTCTTGCAGTAAGCTTATCAGCATTTGAACTGCAGCATTCATAGGGCAATAGGTGTAGAGAGCCTCATAAACATTATAATTATAGGTATACTATAGCTTCTGACAGACAAAATGTTGGTTGTCACATGCATGTGAACCAAATACAGTTTCAAGTAGAAGCTAGTTTTCAACCAGTAAAACAATATAGAACAGCCAAATAAAGATAAATTACCAACTGATCATTGTCTCCTAGCTGTAAACTGTTTGTAGCCCAGCACAAAAGCTTCAGTTTTGACTTAAATACATTTCTACAGGTGGATTCTGGCAGAAAGTAACCTAGAGAGGTGACGTAGATGATTTGAAGAAGAAAAGCTAGAGGTAACACATCCCAACCAGAGAATATTAATTGCAGTTTCATTTCCCAAAGTAATTCCATTAAGGACTGTCTTTAGCACTATACTGCTTTGCTATAATTGCATTGGAAAAAGTCAGGAGTCATGTATCCTTGCGCTGAACGTTATGGAGAAAATAATCTGATTTGCTATCATTTTGGCAGTCTGCAGTGATATAAGACAATGCAGTATTTCATGAGTTCCATGTTTGGTCAGTAAGCTATTATGCTTTTACATATGCTCACTTTTCAGATTAATTTTCTTTTCTTGTTTTTAAAATCCTACAACTCTGCACAGATTTATTGCTACTTATGGCTACTGCCTGACAGGCATTCAGCAGGCATTTTTTCCTCTTATAAGTATTAGTTCACTGAGTGCTTTTTTTTTGCATGGCATAAATAGAATCAAATTATGTAACATTGAAAATGGCTTTGCAAGACGCAGCAGAATGTGACTAGACCTGGCAGCAGAGTGCATGAATAGTTTTGCTTAGTTTGGAGAAGTCTTAAAAAATTCACATCTGTGGAGGATCTGACCTGCATCTGTGTACGTCCTTTAGCTTGGAGGAAAGACAGTTCGGTGATCAGAATATTGTTCTAGATCTTAAGAGAGCCTGTCCTGCCTATAGACACACTAGGTGGCACCAAACAGGTCACTTAAGTCTCTTTCGTGTTTAATTCCTCACCTATAAGATACTTCCCTCCTCCACAAAGAATGCTATAAGGCCAATTACATTAAAGGCTGTTAGCAGACCAGGTGCTATAGTACTAGGGACCATATAGATGCCTTGGGTAACTAGGCTTTATTAGATCCACACCAGTTGACTCCAGCTGAGGTTGTGTAGCCCCATGTTTTAAGACTCGAAAAGGCATCTATTTCAGGTCTCAGATCACTGCCTAGTATGTATCACAGGGCAGTGTGGTGTGTTAGGACGGGTACTTAAATAGCTTAAGTTTGCTGGGGTTAGGGTAAAACCTAATTCTTGTTTTTGGTTGATGTGGGTTCAAGTCATCTGAACTTTCCTTTGGCTTCAGGTTTGAAACAGAGACTCAGGTAGAGACTCAGGCTACGTGCTCCACTAGCAACACTGGACTTTATCTGAACCAAATTTTTCAGAGTTTTTTGCTCAAAACTGGGTCAGGTTCACAGGCCATAAAAAACCTTCTGGGAAAGCTTGGGCTGACTTGTAGGTGATTTTTGCAGGTTTAAAAGTTAGCTGACACAGGTCTCATATTAACTACTAGCTGTTGCTTATTCACAGAGGCTGAGAATTCAGGTACTCCTTTCACCCAAGGCCTTATACGTTCAGATAAGCGGGAGGACATACCTTAGAGAGCTTTACAGGTGAGAACAGGAAGCTTGACCTTGATATACTAGAAAAGAGGGAGGCAGTGGAATGATTCAGAAACATGACAATGATGCTAGCTAATGCACTTTGAAGGGCTGATGTTGGGGGGGAGGGAGGAAGTTCTGAGAATGAAGGTAACCATAACCAATATCAGAGAAAATAAGGGCATTCATGTTTGGACAGACAGAAAAGTTTGAGATTTATGGATGAGAAACACTATGAATTACACTTATTCCCAGTAGCAAAACTTTTGGCCTTGAAATTATTATTCTTACATAATAATTTAAGGCCAACCTCCCTGCTGGATGAAATCACTGCTGGTCAAGATATGATGAGAAGGCGACTGTTAGCTCCTGACAAAGATACCTGGGTGATTAAACTCCATCTCTGCATCCAACCTCTCCCACCAAAGTAACTCTATTCTCATGTTTTATTATCCATTGAAACAGGAGTCAAATTAGGCCAAATTCAAAATGACCTCTCAGCACCAGAGTTTGACTTCATTATGAAAAGTAACACATTGGAGTGGCCCGCCCATAATAGTCCCAGAGGAAGGAAGAGCAATCTATCAGAAAGGTGGATACAAGCGAGAACTCAGAGAGTATTTGAAAGGGCTATACTTATTATATTAAAGTATAAAATGTGAGGCTATTGGTTACATTCCCCTGACCCACCCAAGCAGCCCAGGCAGGTGCAAGGGACTGGTTTAACTCGTGTTAAGATCCTCAAGTAGAAAAAGGAGTTTTGCAGAAAAAGATGGGTTTTGCCTTGTGTGGGTCCCTGGCTGAAGTAGAAGCATTAGAGCTATCACTTGGGACAGGGCAGAAATACTGGGCCTACAAGGTTGGCTCCAGGACTGTGTAAAAGCTGGGCACAGCAATTCGCACGGTAGTGGTAGGTGTACCTCTTGCTCTCAGCCCCACCCTCACTCCCTGGTGAGTGGACTGTGCCACAGGAGTAATGGGGATCTTTTTTTTAAGTCCCTCATTCAGGCAAGAATCTGTCCTCCCCACCATGCAAAGTAGCATATCTCCTCCCATTGCCTTTTCCCCTGCCTGCCACTGCCACTGTCCCCACTGTCCCTAGCTGACCCAGAGCTGAGGGGGAAGGCTCTAGTGCCACTTCTGTCCTGCTCCAGTCAGGCTGCACATGGAGCCAGGGTCAGCTACAGACAGCAGCAGCAGTGTCGGCAGCATCAGTAGGTAGGCTCCCTCTCCCTGCACCTGCTCCTGACAGGGAACAGCCAGGAACTGGACAGGGAGGAGGAACCCACCTGCTGCTGTACCTGGCTGAGCCCAGCTCCATACTGAGCCCAGCTGGAGTGCTCAGGAGTGGCTGTGGAGGTCTTCTCCCCCCCAATCTCTGCCCCTAGGGCAAGCAGAAGCAGCAGTGAGTGGGGGAGGGTAGGAAGAAAGGGGAGGGGAGGTACTGCTGAGCACCAAGGAGAAGGAAGAAGAGGAATTTTATTTGCTTTAGGGACTTTGCTGCTGCCTCTGCTGTTTGGTCATTTGAAAGGGGGATCCATCCATGCCACTGTGCCCCCAGGGCACCCAGATCCACCCCTGCAGGCCCATTATATTTTTTTGTTGCCTATACACTGCTTGTTTACATCTTGTTTCAGA